GGAAAGAGAGGCACACTGGAACACTAAGTTAGACACTACAGAGAGAAAAAGAATAGCGCATGTTAGTCTTTTCACTTACAAGGGATGCTCTAGCAGCAGAAACTGCTGGGAGGGAGAGGGGTGAAGGAGCAAGGTTCTTAACCAAAGGAACATCTTACCTGAATAGCCTGGCGTCCTTGCTGAGCATCTGCTAGCAGCTGGATGGTGAGGGTTCTTGAATCTTGAAGGGCATCTTGGAGGTAGATAAAACTATGACCTACATGTCGTCCCATGGTACATTCCCGGCAGATTGGGACAGAACAAGTGTCACAGTAGAAATGCAGCACCTGAAAGGAGTATATAAAAAAAAAAAAAAAAAAAAATCATGATAGTGAACCAAGCCGCAGTAAAGAAGAAAGACACTACCTTAGCTAAACAAGGAAGGGAGGCAGAGGTAGTAGTGATAAAGGATGTTCGCAATACCAGCAGTTTCCATGGGGGGGAGGGGAGAGCTGTCTTTTGTAAGGGGCCAATCAGCTGGACAGGAATAAAATTAAAACATTAGTTTTCTTTGCAATACAATACCAGGAAAAAAAAACCAAGCTCACTAGTCCACCCCATTCCCCTCTCAAGAACAGAAACCATCTGCCAGCACTCAGATTTGGACATGCCATCTACTTACTACAAATTACTTTTCTTGCATATACAAGCATCGTGTACACAGATACTAAACCATTTAATTTTGCATAGTGCAAGGATAATAATTACTAATTACTATCAGGGCAAAATAAATGAGACTAAAAACCAAGGGTTATCATCCCACTAGTTTTTGTGTCTATTGGCAGGACAGAAGATCCAAGGCAAGGACAGATTGGATGCAAATGTTTACCTTGCATCACTTCTCAGTCAAATGTGGTATTGAAGACAGAAAATTTCAACAATTCTCCCATGCAAACCAGCACCTCAAGTGGCAGTTGCAGTTCTAGGAAGAGCTTGAAGAATTTTAAACAGAAACAGAACCCCCGTTTTGACTAGTACCAAACACAGACAGCAAGTGCTTGCACTGCACCCAAAGTTTCACCCTAGACTAGTGGTTCTCAACATTTTAGACTCAAGGCACCTCTACATATGCTCGAGGCACCCCTTGGAAAATGCCAGATCTTATTTTTTCTATAGGCAAAAAAGTAAAAACTAAAGAGCCATTTTCTTGTTGCAAAGAACTCTGAAAGGCCACTATGGATTTCAATTTGGCACCCCACAGCACCTTGAAAGGCACTCAAGGCACCCCAGAGTGCTGTGGCATACCTAGCTGAGAATCACTGCCCCTATAACCTGAGTAACAGCTCAAAGCCTCATTCACCCCTCTCTTTTCCTAGGGCCAGATACAAGTTGCTGATTAAACTAGAATTTGTACTATTGAATTCCATCCAGCAGAGAGGAAAAATATTTTATTTATATATATACATATATATACATATACATATACATATACACATATACACACACACACACACACACACACACGTGAAAAAGGCTGTCTGGAGGAGTGCAAAAGCCACCATAATTTGAGAATAAAAGAGGTCAGAACGAAAATCTAACTCCACACCTATACATAAAATTCTTGAAGGAGGAACCCACCAAAAAAAAATCTAATACTAAAAGAATGTTTTTTTCCCAGCAGCAGCAGCTTTAGCTGATGTCAGAGGAATGATTCAAAACCCACAGAAGAACATGGAGCACATGGAAGATTTTGGGGCAAACACTGTACCAGATAAAACAACTTTGAGGGGCCAAACATCCCAATTCTCTTCCAAAATTTTAAGTCCAACGCCTGATCAAATACACCAGGAAGCTAGATTCAGAACTCCACAGTGTGTGTGTGCATGTATGTTAAAAAGCACTCTCTCCCCCCCAAGTATCCCCCTGCTCCCATAGAGGCATCCAAGGAGATGCATGGGTTAAAATTCTCAACAAAAAGGTTTTAATCAAAACAGTATTTTAAAGTGTCACCTTAAACAGACTGTTTCACTAGAAGAATCAGACTCAAACCTCTCAGCATCTACATGAAAAATCTGGTTGTTTCAGACATTCCTAATCTTAAATATAATTTTATACAACCATATAAAAGTTAAATACACACACATAGTGGGGGGAGGGGGTTACACACACTTTCAGACCTGCTTTAAAATTTCCAAACATCTTCCACTACAAAATAAAAATCCTCCTCTGTGTATGGCATGTCTGTATGAATTGGTGTACTGAACTGAACTCTCCCCCCCCCCCCCATTTGGTAATTTTCAAAATTACAAGGAACATACATTATCTATTGCTTGACTACAGCTTTAACTATTAAAAAGTAATGAGGATGAGAACTTGAATCTGTTATCCATCAAAACATACAACAGACATTGTGTGTTACAATCAAGGAGGGAAGTTAAAGAAAATGGGAAGAGCCAGAGTCCAGCAAGTTAAACCTGCCATTAGTCCGCTGTAACAGTCAATGCTAGAAGCAAAGCTAGGGCAAAGGCCAGGCAACTATCCTGACAGATCCAGATGCTACTGCTGCAAGAACACAATGCAGAATATTGGAATTATTCAGCTGCTCGAGCAAAGAGAGCAAAGCTAACCAGCCTTCTCCCTCCATCCCCCAAATGAATATAGATGTACATTCAGTGGTTTAATTTTAAAATATAACCATAGGATGAGATGACAATATTTCAGAGTTGAAAGTTACATATGGAAGGTCTTAAAATCTGGAGCCAAAACTGATAATCCTACCTTAGTGAGTAAAGAGGTTGACTGACAGCATTTGTTTCTCCATATTCACTCTCAGAACTTTACTCCTAGTTTCAACACCATCTACCTGACCCTGTAAGTCTTACAGTAATACAATCCTTGTAGTTCAAAATAAGTGTCTTTGTTTGGTTCTAAATAAAGACCAAGGTGTAAAAATCCTCAAAATGCAGACCTTGCACCCAAATGCTGTACTGATTATATGTACAAAGCTGATTCAGGTGTGCAAAGAATCCTTCATTCAAATACCTAGAGCAGCAATTCTCAACCACTATGCCACACATTAGCACCATTAAGCATGCAAGCAATTCAAAAATTAAAATCCAGAGACTTCAAAACAGGAATCCAGTGTTAAAACATTCTGGCCTGTTGGTGTTGTTGAGCTCTTTGCAATGGAAGAATTGCTTTATTAGTAAAAAATGAATGAAAACTAAAGAGCTGACATTTTCCAAAGAGTACTTTGAGTCTAAAGGAGATTGAGAACCACCAACCTAGAGCAGTAGACTGAAATGAAGAGGAGTCCGGGACAGTGGTTCATGGAAGCAAGTTAGTAGGTAGTATGCACCCAAAATAAAAATCAGAGAGATCAGTTTGTTGCAATGCTACAGGTCAGATACTGGACTAGTGCAGTCTAGATTGAGCCCACAGAACAAACCCCTGCCTCCCTGTTAGATCCAGTCCATGCAACACTCTCCTCCCCACCCTCAAGTCTGGGATTGCGCCATACATGGTGCATGCCTGGACTACTGTGTAGCAAGGGAGGCTGTGGGGGAAGGAGGGGGGGGGTGATATAAGTCCCAAATCAGCCAAGACAGCAGCCCATTCTGATAAGTCCAGGACCCAAACTGCCCACTGAGCCCTTTTTGGCTGGTCCATGGGACCTACACCGCAGTGCCCATGGGATCCGTGCCACCCCCACCCACTGCTGTCTAGGATGCATGCTACATACCATGCTGTCCTGGACTGGGGTACTAAAAACAAACAAACAAACAAACAAAAAACAAAACTCTTCCTTAAAACTAAAAGTGTTATAGGACCATGCTTATTGGATTTAAGGATTGGTTCTGTAAGATTATTAACCATCTGTCCTGCTCTATACTATTTAAGTATAAAAATTCCCATAAACACCTTAAATACACTATTCTACATTTGTTTAAAAATCTGGGCAATTTAGAATTTGAGAAGAAGACTTTATGTATATGTACAAAAAGTGTATCAATAAGAATTTCACTTTGTCAGTACCTTCCCAAAGGACCTTTGAAGCTTTCAAAAAGGAAAAACAGTCTAACAAGGAGAAAAGGAAAGGAATATTTTTAGCAGGTCTTAAGAAATTATTTATTCTGAAAAGAAATTAACTGTGGGTTGATTATTTCCCAAACAGGAAATATTTCCTGAATTGGTCATACTATTTTAAAACACAAAACAATAAAAAGGAGCCTGCCGCAATTTAAACGGAGTCAGTCAACCATATTACGGGGCTATCCATCTTTTACAGCCATAGAAGCCCAAGAAATATAACAGCAAGGCCGTAAATGTGATTGCTTCAGGAAAGGCTGTACAGTGCACTGTAAAAACATTTTACAACAGCAGGGATTCCTGGGCGTCGTTTTCCCCGTTTTTGGTCCATCTGCTTTCAAAGGGGAAAGGGGGATGGGCAGAGATGTTGTTAAACCTCCCCTGGGATTCCATAGCAATCAATCAGCATCTGATGAATGGCCACTGAAGTTAAACTCTGACCGACTCTACAATTCCCACACCAGTTCTCCCCTCCTTACTGTTGACCAGCTTCCAGAATGCCCCACCCACCTTCCTCCCCTGACCAAAATTTCCCAAATACCAGGCACAGACAAAAGCAGTGGAATGTAGTAGCCATTATGAGCGAGGAAAATTCAGAGGAAAATTCAGTGAAAACAGCAGCAAAGGAGGCTTTTCCTTAACCTCTGTTTAAATAATGGCCTTTCAACCTTTTTTCTTCAAGCTCATACTGAACTCTCACATTCCAATTTCTGTCAAATATTTTTCTCTTCGTGTTTGTGAATGCACATCGATGCATCAAAAACAGGGTGGGGAGACAAAGCATTGTGTGTGCATGCACACACATTTCAATTGTAGTAACGCAATATTATTTACAAAGATACTTACAGAGTACACAGATGAGATTAATTTAAAAATAAAACCTACAACATTCAGAATCTGTATAAAGGGATGCCATATCTGAAGCCAAACATCTTCACTGCTGTAATGTTTACACTTGCTCTTCATATGACCTTGGATACTGTGCCAAAATACATAACGAACAGCAAAGATAAAAATTCAGCACTGTTTTACACTATGTTTGTGTGCAAGAAAGATCTGGCCATGAAAATTTGACACAAATGCAAAGCTGATCAGCTTGTACCATTGTCTGGGGGGCACAGGAGAGGACCCCCCCCCCCAAACTATGTGGGAGCTCAGCTTTTACAAAGGTATTACTTGTTGACCTTTGACTAAAGAATAGCCAAGATGTCATCTGACTTTGCTGATGGTGATCATTTTGGAGAGTGGCTTACT